TAGGGTGTTCAGCTGGGCGGCTGAGGGAGACAGAAAATGGAATGCCCTCAACATTAACAGTTGGGTTTTGGTGTTTGGATTTTGGAATTTGTTTCGTTCTTTATTCTGAATTACAATCTTTTTTTTTTTCTTTTAAGATTTTATTTATTTGACAGAGAGAGAGAGATCACAAGAAGGCAGAGAGGCAGTCAGAGAGGGAGGAGAAGGCAGGCTCCCTGCTGAGCAGAGATCCGATGTGGGCCTCAATCTCAGGACCCTGGGATCATGACCCGAGCCGAAGGCAGAGGCTTTAACCCACTGAGCCACCCAGGCACTCCAACGGTGTTGGCTTCTTAGCGGAAGCCAGTTGCTTCCTCTCTGAATTACTATCTTTTGTGGTAACTATGTGATTCAGCTCCATGGGAACTAGAGATGATGTTAGCAAAAATCTAAGAGCAGGGGCACCTGGGTAGCTCAGTGGGTTAAAGCCTCTGCCTGTGGCTCGGGTCATGATCCCGGGGTCCTGGGATCGAGCCCCGCATCGGACTCTCTGCTCCGCGGGGAGCCTGCTTCCCCCTTCTCTCTCTGCCTGCCTCTCTGCCTACTTGTGACCTCTGTCTGTCAAATAAATAAATAAAATCTTTAAAAAAAAAATCTAAGAGCAAAAGAATAAGTGACTTTTCATTGTCAGTGGGCCCCATGAAGATTTCAATCCAATCCTATTCTGGGAACCACTTAGGTGTGGAGCGTTTCTCTCTCATTGGAGAAAACCAAGTTCTCATTGTTAACTTATCAGTGGATTTCTCCTAATGGAATTAACAAGCAGATTAAAAACAGAAGTCTATATTCAACACTCCTACCGTTTTGAAAGTTAAAACTAGGCTTTAAATGGAGAGTAAATTTGGGGCATCTGGGTGGCTCAGTCAGTTAAGCATCCAACTCTTGATTTTGGCTCAGGTCATGAACTCAGGGTTGTGGGATTGAACCCCACGTCAGCTCACCTTCGGCTCGGAGCGTGCTTGGGATCCTCCACCTCCCCCTCTCCTTCCGCTCCTCCCTCCCCACTCTGCACGAGTGCTATCTCTCTGTCTCTCAAATAAATAGAAGCTTTAAAAAATAATGAAGAATACATTCAAACATTTTTAACCCTGAAATCTAAAATTCTTAATTACAAAATACATATCGGTTGCTTTAGTTCCATTTTTTTTTTTTTTTTAAAACAATCTCTATGCCCGAAGTGGGGCTCACACTCAACCCTGAGATTGAGTCTCAAGCTCCATCAACTGAGCCAACTGGGCACTCCTTATCTTTATTATTATTATTTTTAAATATGTGTCAAGTTTCATGATTCAAAGTAGCCTGCTGGCTTATACTATCTCAGTGCTATACTTGGAAGCACAGAATTTTCCAGGTAAAATAGATGGCAATGTTGGCAGACTCATCCCTCTGCTTCTGGAGTTCTCCCCTGTACTTTTTGTGGTGTTAATGCACAGAGTTGTGCCACCCAGGCATCCCTCAATCGAGCACATTTTTTTTTTTTTAAGATTTTATTTACTTATTTGACAGAGAGATCACAAATAGGCAGAGTGGCAGGCAGAGAGAGGGGGAAGCAGGCTCCCTGCCAAGCAGAGATCTGATGCGGGCCTCGATTCCAGGACCCTGAGATCATGACCTGAGCCGAAGGCAGAGGCCCTAACTCACTGAGCCACCCAGGCATCCAGTCGAGCACATTTTTAAAGCTCTTATTTTATTCAGTGATCCATGAATCAGGCAGCATCCCATCCAGCAGATAGAAAGGAGTTCTGAGTAACTGTACAAAACGAAATACTTCTAGGCAGAAGGTGTGGAAAATCAATCTCTTTGCTCTGGGGCTAAAATATAACACGAAGACAGAGTTTGGGGATAAAGAGAAACGACTGTTTCATTACTTTGCAGGGCAAAGGAGGCCGCAGCAGGCTAATGCCTTCAAAACAGTAGACACCCCCTCTCCTCCGGGGCGGGGTGGTGGGGGAGGAAGGCCGAGGGGTTTTATAGAAAACTACAGGATTGGGGCGCCTGGGTGGCTCAGTTTGTTAAGCATCTGCCTTCAGTTCAGGTCATGATCCCAGAGTCTGGAGTAGGGCTCCCCTCTCAGCGGGGAGTCTCCCTTCTCCCTCTGACTCCTTCTCTCCTGCTCTTTCAAATAAAATCAACAAAACAGAACAAAAAAAGGGCCTGGCAGTTTTGATAGAAATCTGGTATGGGCTTCCAGCTGCCTTCTTTGTCTTCAAGGTGGTCTTTTTTTTTTTTTTTTTTTTTTTAAAGATTTTATTTTATTTATTTATTTGACAGAGATCACAGGTAGGCAGAGAGGCAGGCAGAGAGAGAGGAAGGGAAACAGGCTCCCAGCCGAGCAGAGAGCCCGATGTGGGGCTCGATCCCAGGACCCTGGGATCACGACCTGAGCGGAAGGCAGAGGCTTTAACCCACTGAGCCACCCAGGCGCCCCTCAAGGTGGTCTTAAGACTCACTGAACCCCTGAGTCTTGTTGCTAAGTGTTTGTTGAGGTCAGCAAGATGTTGGCATCTGTATGGAGTTCCTTGGAACAACAGATTCTACAGAAAAGTGAAGGGGAAGGAGAGGCTTCAAGAAAGGAAGATAAAAATGTGTATCATCTGAAGTCAAGCCTTGCTACAGCATTACTGTCCATCTTAATTTCCATCCATCTTTACATTTCTCTAGCAGTTTCAAAGGGACAGGACAAAGTTACACTAGCAGAAAGTGGATTGGTGTGGCAAGGTCTCTTTCCTTCAGGCAATGACTGGGGGGTGTCTATCAGGCAGATGATCGTGATTAAGACTCCATTTCTGAGAGAGGCAACAACGAATTCTCAGTTTGGTGATGGGAAGCTCAGCCTGAGTGAGTCCACTTTGGGCCTGTTGTCTTGTTTTTAAGAGTAACCATTTAGAAGACAAATAGTTACCATTATGTGTTAAGTGCCTGGCTTCGTAGGGGTGCCTTATGAGGGAAGGACAAATAACACCCAGTTCAGCAAGTCAGGATCTAAAATTAAACCATGAGTGAAATGCAGAGGGTGCAGTGTTCACTTTGCCCTGTACTGGGAAGAGAGTTGCAACCTAGAAATTTGCCTGGAGTGATATAAATTGTTACACTATTCAGCTTCTTTTCATTGCCTAGAAAAAAAAAAAAAATCCAACCATTGTAAAAGCTTTGGAAGTTGTGTTGAGCAGAGATTACAACACAATCCATAAAGTTTATGTAGTATTCTAGGAGTTAGGCAAGCATAAACATTACCCCTTAGTTATTACAGCTTCAATTATAATCTCAATGTTGTGTTAACAGACTATTCATTCTTCCCAGACTTTCCTGACTTAGAAATGTGCTTATCCCAAGTACCTGCTCTCATGTTAAAACACCCTGTGGACATTTGTCTCTCCGTGGTATCTGTAAGTATGTGCAGGGAAGGGTTAGCAAGTGGACATTTCAAACAGATTCTTAAGCACAGTAAGCAAATGCAGTGCATGAACCCAGACAGTATCCTAGTTCAGAGGGAAGAAGTTATAAAAGATGCTCTTGGGACAATTCTAGAAACGGGAATATGGACAGAATATTGAGTGACTTCAGCACTAGCCCGAGGGAGGAAGGTTCACACCTGACCTAATCTTTGTACAACACAAGTACCTTCACTTTCAGATAGCCAAATGGTTTGTACTTCCCAGCAGCCCTACCTGCATTTGGGGCCTGTGTGTTTTTCGATCCCCCCCTCCCCCACCCAACAACCCTGCTCCGACCCTCCAGTCCCACAAGAGTCTTATGAAGCAATCTTTTTGCCCAACCATCTGCTGGTGAATTCAATTTCAACCTGATTTCAACCGGCTTATACTTAAATTACTTTTTAGAACAGCTAATATCATCGTGCAGTTTAAGAGGAAAATCCCAGGGGCGCCTGGGTGCCTCAGTCAGTTAAGCGCAAGTTTCAGCGCAGGTCGTGTTGCCGGAGTTCTGGCATCCAGTCTCCTGTGGGGCTCCCTGTGCAGCTGGGGTCTGCTTCTCCATCTCTTTGTTCACCACTTGTGAGTCCGTGTTCTCTCTCAGTAACCTCTTTAAAAAATTAAAAAAAAAAAAAAAAAAAAAAGACAGGGACGACTGGTTGGCTCAGTTGGTTAAGCGGCTGCCAGGACTGCATGAGTCCAGTGTCCTGGGGATTAAGTCCCACATCGGGTTCCTTGCTGGGCAGGGAGCCTGCTTCTCCCTCTGCCTCTGCCTACCACTCTGCCTGCCTGTGCTCTCTCTCTCTCTGACGAAAAAAAACCAAAAAACAAACAAACAAAAAAAACATAAAAAATCCTGAGAGAAACTCAGAATCACAATTTCATGCTCTTTATCCTGAGAGTGTAAAAACAAACAAAAACCAAGAACTGTAGTAGACTGTGACATCATTTTAAGAGGTAATGAACACACTGTGACAAGGCAGTGCTGCCATTAATATGCAATATCTTTTTTAAAAAATTATTTATTTGATAGAGATCACAAGTAGGCAGAGAGGCAGGCAGAGAGAGAGGAGGAAGCAGGCTCCCCGCTCAGCAGAGAGCCCAATGTGGGGTTGATCCCAGGACCCTGAGATCATGACCTGAGCTGAAGGCAGAGGCTTTAGCCCACTGAGCCACCCAGGCGCCCCTGCAATATCTCTTGTACATACTTCAAATTAGTTTCTTTGCTGCCAAGCTCATGGCGCCATCGGTTTTAAGTATTCTGCTACCAAGAGCTTGTCTACTACGATAGCGGGTTATGAGATGCCACCAAGATCCCACTTAGCACCTAGGGCTGGTATGTAGGAACGTGTTCATTCATCTGAAAGTTAGCTACTGGTTTGGGGCACGGTAACCAGTAGGGTGGGGGAAAGGTTTCTGCAGCGCTAACCCGAGGCGCGCGCTGGCCCCGAGGCCAGCGGAGGGGGTGGGGGTGGGGCCGGTGTTTTAAGCGCGTGCCCCGCAGCGCCTCCTTTACCAAGATGGCCTCAGCGTTGGGGGTCCGCGGGGGCGGCCATCTTGGTAAAGGCCGAAGCGGCCGTTCCGACGCTGGCAGGACTGCCAGATTCGAAGGTCACAATGAGTGAGTGAGCAGGCCACGTGGAGCGAACTTTGCCTCGGCCCATGGGTTCAGCTCGCCTCCGGGATGGCGAGGCGGCGGGCGTTGAGGCGGTGCCTGCAGCTGCTGGCGCCCTCGGTTGAGCCGGCGCGCCGGGGCCACTCCCGCTGCGCGGCGGCGCTGTGCCCGAGGGCGCCGTGGCCCGCAGCCCAGGAGGAGCAGCGGCGGCGCGCGCGCCCTTCCGCCCCCTACGCCAGGTGAGCCCCGCCCCGCCCCGCCCCGCCCCTCCGCCGCAGGGGATTGGAGCGCCGGGAGGTCTGCGCTCCAGCTCCAGCTCCCGCCTGGCGTAGGGCGGCTTCTTCCCGCCCGCGCATCCTTTTCGCGGCTCGCTTTCTCCTCGGCCTCTGGGTGGAGCAGCCCGCACTCCCGGCCTGGGGCTGTTTGTGGACTCCTCGGCGAAACAGAGCGCGCCGTGGGTGGGATTCCGGGTGCCGAGCCCTGCCCCCTCCTGGAGACGCTGAGCATGTGAGGGGCAGGGCCCCGTTTGAATTTCCGCACCTCGGGAGTTGCGGAGCCCACATCGCTGAAGCTGCCTGGGTGAAGAGCCACTTTCCCGCCCCCCCTCCTGTTGGGAGAGTAGCCATCTCTGGGACTTGTTTCAGATCCCATCTTCTCTGCAAATCACCAGGTTGCATCTTCCCTGATCGGAATTCATGTGGGTGTACCTTTGGCTGTATTTGTAAATGAGTGGTCGACAGCTTCCTTAGAGGAACTTATTTCTGCTTCATATATGGTATTTATCTTAAAAAAAAAATATATATATATATATATCCAACAGGTTTCTCTGCTTTTGTATTCAAAGTTAACTGAATGGGAGAGCAAAAGAAAGGAGCAAAGTGTTGTGGGGTGGTGGAAGCTGGTGCTTTCTTGAGTTTTCTGTCCCGTGGTGGTTTCTTAAGTTGGGTATTGCAGGTTTTTCGGAGCGGGTATGCAGGTAGCGTTTTTTCCTCCCCGATGTAGAACTCGCTGTGGTCCCGATAGTTGAGAAATACGCTCCCACGGACTCCAGCCTTGCATCAACACAGCAGTCGAACCTGGAAAATACTGGGAGAATGAGAAAAGTTAACCTTTAAAAAGTCACTTAGCTCTTGTCTTTGCCTTTACTGTTATAATAGGACTCATCTCGTTTACTTTGGCTGAGCATGGAGTATTTGCTGTTTGATAATTCTGATTAATTTATTGAGAAAGTCATTCCTGAGCTATAGCTCTCTGAAAATTAAACACTTTCAATCTCAGTTAAAAGTCGATATCTAGCAGTTCTGTTTATGTTTTAGGTACACCGTTTTTGATGTAGTCTCGGACATAGATATCGTTTAGAAAGAAGTTACGTAATCTTTAAAAAGAAAAGATTACCTACATGGCACAGCAGTCCGATGTTGTTGCAAAAAAACATGAGGTCTGTGAGAGAAGAAATTAGGGCAAGTGTACTTGTTTAATAATTTAAAACTGTTGTGACTCAACTGGAAATACAGTCTCAATTTCAAAAATTGCATTCTGCAGGCTTTCCTGTTGCAAGAATTTCTGTAAGTCTCCAAGAGGGGAAAATACTTAAGAATAGTTCTCATACCTATTTTTGCTCACAATTCCAGGTTAAATAGTACAGATTTCACATTGCAAAACTTAATTTTTAGATTAGTCCAGGGGTGATTGTATGAAGGACATTTTATTTTCTTTATTTTTCTCCTTTTTTTAAAAATTTTATGCATTTATTTCACAGAGAGCTCACAAGTAGGCAGAGAGGCAGGCAGAGGGGTGGGGGGAAGCGGGCTCCCCTCTGAGCAGAGAGCCCAAAGCTAGGCTCCATCCCAGGACTCTGAGATCATGACCTGAGTTGAAGGCAGAGGCTTAACCCACTGAGCCACCCAGGCGCCCCAGAAAGACATTTTAATATAAGCATTCCATTGTAGGGTTTTGGTTCTGTTTTAGTTGATACAGTCATCCTCTTATGTTCGTTTGAAAAGGTTATTATGTTCCTTTGGTACTTAGGAGTTTGGGGATTTTAAAGAACATTTTGTCTGTATTTGGAAAAGTACTATTTGCCTTTGATTTTCAATCTCCTTTTTCTTTGTAGTGGTAGGTAGCTTTGGATGTAGAGGGTTTTTCCAGTCCATTCTACTCCTTTTATGTAAATAAGAATATGACTATAGCTGGGGGCTGTGTTGCTCTGGCATTTTAGATTGAAAAGGATACAAGTAAAAAGTGCATTGAAATATTATTGGGGAAATGAACTGTGCATGTAATTAATTGTTAACGAGCACCTTTATATTGAAGGCCTGTGAGGGCATGTGTAAAATTGGCATAAAAAAAAAAAATCACTCATGCGGGGCGCCTGGGTGTTGCAGTCGTTTAAATGTCCAACTCTTGGTTCTGCTTAGGGCATGATCTCAGGGTGGTGGGATCCAGCCCCAAAGTCAGGCTTCCCCCTCAGTACAGAGTCGGCTTGAGATTCTCCCTCCCATTCCCTCTCCCCTCCTGCCTCAAATAAGTAAATCTTAACAAAAAGAAAAGAAAAGAAATACTGTGATTTCCAGAATAGGGTTCTAGTAATATGCCATTCTAAATGAAGAATTTTACCTACCTGTCTATAACTTATAGTGTTTTGGTCGACTTGTCTTTTGAATTATTAAGTGCTTATTCTGTATTTAAATATTAAGACTTCTGTGACAGATTATGTGTGAATTTGGATGACCTCAGGGGCAGTTTGTTATGTCAGAAAGTCTTTTGTCAACTCGGTTGGATAACGTGTTATCAGTATTAAGATTGTAATTTACGAAGACCTTTCAAGTATTTATGTATTTTTAGCTTGACTTAATGGACATGCCCCATTCCACAGATGAGGCAGTCAGAAAACTGAGAGCCTAGGAGATTTCAGCAGAGGTCTCTGAGCACAGCAGCTCTGGCCTTGTGCAGGAATGTCCCCTGCTGCCCCTTGTTAGAAAGGGGTACCAATGAAAACCGGGTCGAGTGGTGGGGCTCAGCAAGCTTTGGTCAGCATTACAGCCATAGATGACACCCCTAAACCTGTTTGTGAGTGATCAGTAGTGTCAGTTCTAGGGGTACAGGCCTGGCATGCAGATGGGTCAGCATCAGTTCAAACACGTGAATGAGAAATAGCTCAGTCTGTACCTGCTACCTAAAATAATCCATCTTTTCCCTGGAAGGCAGCAGATTTTTTTTTTTTTTTTTAAAGATTTTTTATTTATTTGTGAGAGAGAGAGAGAGAGCACGCAAGCGTGCTCAAGCAGGGGGAGCGGCAGAGGGAGAAGCACACTCCTCACTGAGCAGGGAGCCGGATGTGGGACTGTATCCCATGGCCCTGGGATCATGATCTGAGCCCAAGGCAGGTGGTTAACTGACTGAGCCACCCAGATGTCCCAGATTTTCATGTTTGTCTAAATTGGGGGTCTTCCCAGATTAAGGGCTGGTAACATATTGGCTGAACGGGAAGTGCCTGTATACTTCCGTGCTCATTTGTAATCTCTCGTTTTTAGAGTAGAGTTGTCATAATAAACCCCAAGCTTCCTCATTGTTTCTGGCACCTCTTAAACTGGTAAGGTGCTTGCTTGTTTTGCTAAGACCCCGATGCTAGGACACCTGGACAGCAGCAATGATTAGTTTGAAAAGTTTTCTGTATTTTGAGGGTCCTTCAAACTACAAAGATGTTTGTTCTCTTTTCAAGTCACTGTGTTCCTTCCTTTGGCTTGTTTGGAGAGTTTGTGAAAAGTACTGCATATATTTCAGAATATTGTGCCGTTGGTGCATAAACAATGAATCTTGAAACACTGAAAAAAAAAAAAAAGAATATTGTGCCGTTATATGGTTGAAGTATCGAAGGACAGTTTAAAAGAGTTTCTAGGGCACCTGGGTGGCTCAGTGGGTTAAGCCTCTGCCTTCGGCTCAGGTCATGATCTCAGGGTCCTGGGATCAAGTCCCGCATCGGGCTCTCTGCTCCTCGGGGAGCCTGCTTCTCCCCTTCTCTCTCTCTGTCTGCCTCTCTGCCTACTTATGATCTCTCTCTGTCAAATAAATAAAATCTTAAAAAAAAAAAGTTTCGAGACTTCCTTTTAAAAAAAATGTTAAGGCCCATTTATCTGTTTACGAGCTAAACTAAGTAAAATACCCTACTGAGGTGAAATGTGTCCTTTATCTTTTTATGCTCATCATATGTTCTTTTGGTCCAAGTGTTTTTTTTATTTTTTTATTTTTTTATTTTTTATTTTTTAAAGATTTCATTTATTTATTTGACAGAGACCACAAGCCGGCAGAGAGGCAGGCAGAGAGAGAGGAGGAAGCAGGCTCCCCGCTGAGCAGAGAGCCCGATGTGGGGCTCGATCCCAGGACCCCGAGATCATGACCTGAGCTGAAGGCAGAGGATTTAACCCACTGAGCCACCCAGGCGCCCCTGGTCCAAGTGTTTTTAAGATTTTATTTGAGAGAGAGGGAGAGGGAATAGCAGACTCCCAAATGAGCAGGAACACTGGGCTCGATCCTGGGATCGTGACCTGAGCCCAAGGCTCTTAACTGATTGAGCCACCCAGGCACCCCAGTCCAAGTGTTTTTAAACATAATTATGATGAGCGTGGCTTATAAACAGCCCCAGCTCTATCCCCAGCCACAGCTGGACCCTTGGAATGTCCTGTAACCCTCTGGCCTGATGTGCTTCACCTGTGAAGTAAAGGGGTCACAGAGTGATGAACTTGAGTCATGGAATGTTCAAGTGAGAAAGGACTTTAGTATGCACCGGCCCAACCTGTTTAATTTATAGATTTCCTGTTTCTTCTCTTGAAAGAGTTTTTAGCCTATCATGATCTTGCAAAACTGAAACCTCAAAATGAGACTTTTCTCCCATTTCACTTTAACATTCTTGGGTGAAAGTTGATTCCTCTCTCATTCTTTGCTCATTTCGTCTCTCAATTTTATTTGTAGATGAGATGTTCATCGTGTATAAATGTATATGTGCTGTTCAGAGCTTATGTTTTTTTAACTGCATGAATATGAATGCTGGTGGGCATAGTGGGTATTGAAATGAAGAAATTGACAAGCTCTGGACCATCTCAGCAGTATTCTTCTGGTTAAGCATGAATATGTAGAGCTTTATAATTCCTATAATTCCTTGATAATTCCTTTATAATTCCAAATATCTTAAATCATACTTTATAATAATGGTCATCTCTGATTTACTATAAACTGCTCACAT